ATAATTTTGACAACTACCCACCTGAATCACCAGCCTAAGCACTTTGCTGCATCGCTCCGTTTATAGCCTTTCTTATCATACCTGGAGATCGTGGGTCCGAGAGCATAGAACCCCCCGAAACCCTAGTTTAACAAGCTATTCCCCTAAACCCTCAACCCTGAATCTCAAGCACCTAATAAATTTAGTTACTCCACACCATACGCCCTGAACCCTAAACCCACCCAAATCCTAAACCCTGAAACCGACATCCCCTCAATTCCGAATCCTAAACCCCGAAAGTATGTAGAAGACTAGCCTCGTGCAGGTGCCTCCTTTTGGGGTTTAGGTAAACCCTAAACCCTTAGAAATTCCAAGCCCTAAACGCGGAAGCTTAATTCAATCCCTTAAGGTCTAAGCCCTAGACCCTGCACCCTGAACCTCCAGCCGACCGACTTGACCAGACTTGGACCTGGCGATGTTGGCATCGTGGCTGTGCCCGCATTGAGGTTGACCCTTTCTTGAGGTCTTAATCGGGTTCAGGGCTTGGGTCTACCAATTCATGAGGTGTTCATAGGTTTTGGGTTAGGGTTGCCATATCTTTAGATTGTAAGAAGGTTCTGGCTTCAGGGGTCCTTTGGGGGGGTTGGGGGGTGGGGGGGAGGGGGGTTGTTTATGCGGTTTGAAGACCCCACGCCCCCGCAGACCCTGGTTGTAATCTTGGCTTCTCTGTCAGAGTAGTAGGATCTCAGTTGTGGGGAATTTAGGATTGAATAAAGACCGTCTACCTATCGATCGATCGATTTATCTATCTACCTACCTATCTACCTATCCATCTACTTGTATCTACCTTTCTAGCTATTTGTCTGTCTATTTATCTATTTATCCATCTGTCTATCTGTCTATCTGTCTATCTGTCTATCTATCTATCTATCTATCTATCTATCTATCTATCTTTATGTATACATATATATATATATATATATTATAGACATATATATATATATAATATTTCACCCAAACATTTTTCTGGCCATTGAGACGCTGAGGTTAGGGCTGTCAGAGGTTTGAGGTTTTGCTGGTTCATTTCCTTGTGAAGCATCGAGCAACCTTGCTCCGATGATGGGTTTCGGCCGTAATCGCAACTAACCTACCAGGGTTTAGGGTTTAGGGTTTAGGGTTTAAGGACTTAAAGAAGGAAGTTCGAAGAAGGAACCCAAAAATGGGTTGTAGGGTCCAGGAAAAACCAAAAGCCCTAAAGCGCTAAAGCCTACGGACGCTTGACACCAAACTCTGCCATGCCCAAGAGTTCCAAGTGCTAAGCGGCACACCCTACAGTTCTATAGCGGTGGGCTATGCAGGGCTGTTTAGGGTTTAGGGTGTAGGGCTGCATGATGGAGCATGGCATAGGTGTACGGCAGTAGGTATAAAGCTTCTGGGGTTGACAGGAGCTGGGTTGTAGTAGTTCAGTCCTTTGTTTTCAGGCTTTTTTTTACATGGTCGAAACTGAATAATGGGGCGGGGAGGGGGGGGGGGTGTACCCTCATTATCAACAGAGAACCCAGCTGCAGTAGAGTCACCCAAACTGTTTTTCTAACGGGCCCGAGATATGAGCCCGGGACATAATTAAGAATTCAGCGCTCATCAGTCATCCTTACCCTAAACCCTAAACCCTAAACCCTAAACCCTAAAGCCTAAACCCAGACCTGTAGTCCATGTTGCAGCTTTCTGGTGTTTACTGCTTTCACTGTCATGACATCTGTCAGCTTTGAAGGGTTTATGGTTTAGGGTTTTAGGGTTTAGGGGTTTGGGGTTTAGGGGTTTAGGGTTTAGGGTTTAGGGTTGAACGGAGATAGTGAAGCTACCTCAGTTCTAGTTCTGCCATGCTGTCTAGGGTTTAGGCTTTTCATTTTGGGACTCGAGGTTGCCTCAAGACCCTAAGCCCCAGAATCGCAAAAACTGAAACCCTAAACTCTGCAAGTCTAAGCCCGGCCCTAAACCCTGACTCATGTAACCCTGAAACCCTCAAGCCATAAACCCTGAAACACTGAAACCCTAAAGGCATAAACCCGAAACCCTGAAACCCTAAGGCCAGAAACCCGAAACTCTGAAACCCCAAAGCCATAAACCCTATAACCCCTAAAGTTTGAAGCCCTAAACCCCAACACCAGGTGGTCATGACGGCCAAGCAGCTCCTCAGTACGCGCTGCCGGTGGGTGAACAGCACTTGGGCTCAGCGCTTTCCCCACCTGCTTCTTCGATTCCTCAAAGGGCTCTTAGGGTTTAGGGTTTAGGGAGTTAGACAAGCAGAAAGGAAGGTTGTTGTTGAAATCAGGGGTTTGTATAACAACCTTTCAGCGCTTCCTGATTATCATGCCCGAAAGCTAAACCCTAAACCCTGGAAGACCACAGAAGCTGAACCCCAAACCCCAACAGTCCCAAAAGCTAAACCCCAGACCCTGAACTGAGGTTCTTCGCCAGCTGTCATTCCATTAACCAACCCTAAACCCTAAACCCTAAACCCGAACCCCTAAACCCTAAACCCTGAACTGAGGTTCTTCGCCAGCAGTCATTCCACTAACCAGCAGGACGTGGAGGGGGGCCGGGTACGCCTCTGGCCTTTACGGGCGCCCGAAGACTTCCTCAAGCGATTTGCGGAAGAGACTCGGTTCTTGGACTTCGGGCGTTCAGGAGTTGAGTTTCTTGGGGTTTCGGGGTTTAGGGTCCTAGGGTTTAGGGTTTCGGGTTTAGGGTTACAGTAGCAGCCCTAGCTATGAAGGGTGGGCCTAGGGTTTGGTGACAAGGGGGGGGCTTGAGTTCGTTGAGATCGGATGTCTTATGAAGTGAAACCTGGAGCCTGCGGCGGAACTAAGGGCACTTACCATAGCCATGTCTTCTTCTTTGGGGCTTCAGGGTTTAGGGTTTCAGGGTTTAGGGTTTTGGGGTTTAGTGTTTCAGGGTTTAGGGTTTCAGGGTTTAGGGTTTCGGGGTTTAGGGTTTCAGGGTTTATGGTTTCGGGGTTTAGGGTTTCGGGCGGAAGTAAGGACAGCTACCATAGCCATGTCTACAAGGGCCATCTGGGACTCGCCCGGCTCTATGCAGTGCTCCCAGATCTGCCCTGGTACTGCCTCGCCGGCGACGACGTTTACATTTTCGAGCCGTGGCTGCTCGAAGCCCTGCGCGAGGCCACATCTAGACCCGGGGAGGAGGCTGTTTGCGCTGGATTTGTGGAGAAGGTGCCCTTTCGTCATAGCAAAGAAACCTTCAAGTGGATGTCTATACAGTGCCTACAGCAGTTTGGCATCGATGAATGGGGTGCCAACTGTGTGAAAATGGCTTACGACCTTCTTCGACCCTATGCCGCTCTTGACATCCCTTATGGTGCAGCCATCTTTTGTAGCAATGCCGCGATGGCGAAGCTCGCTCCTTTCTTGTCCAGCAGACTGGTAAGTGATTACATGGACGAGTGGGAAGCTCAAAGTGAGCCCATTGAGGGCACTCAGGGGGTGTATGTCGATGAGCTCTTCAGACCGTATCTACCGGTTTCTGACATACTGCTGGGACTTTGTATGTCCGAACAAGGCATAAAGCTCTACAACCTTGATGACGGGGGTTCCGAGAATGCGCCTGGAAGTCTTTTTTTTGTCAGCCCTAAAATGCCGAAACTACATAGTCGATCCTTAATTCTATTGTCCTGTGCTTATGCTCCTACACCGCGCCCTAAAACACGCATGAAAGACACCCCTAGCCTCATCAAGCACGAGCTCTACAAAGAAGCCCAATGATAGAAAGCACAGGCGTCGTTTGAATACTTAAGCCCTAGCCCTAAACCCTAAACCCTAGACCCTAAACCCTAAACCCTAAACCCTAAACCTTAACCCCTAAACCCTAAAACCCTGCTAGCTAGGATGGAACCCACGGTCCCCCCAAAACTGAAAACTCGCGAGACCTGAAGCCCAGGTTTTTGGGGTGGCGACTACCTTCCAGGAGCACAGGCTCTTGAGGAGAACGGGACCAACTCTAGCTGGCTACCAAAGGAGCTGCATCGCGCCAAGCGACCCGGCTCTATCTGTGTTTGTTTGTGTGTTTTGGTGTGTGTTTTTGCTCTGTCTGCCTTGTTTTAGTTTGTTTTGCGATTTCTTTAGTGTGCTCTAAAGAAATGTAAAGCGCTGTTTTGATTTTGGAGTTTGTGCTGTTGTTTATTCATTCTGTCGAGTGTTTGTCTTTGGGGGTTCTGGTCTCTCTTTTGGGGCCTCAGAGATGTGCGTTTAGATCATCTAGTCGTCGGGGCGGGAGTCCCGCCAACAGAGGGCTTTTGCAACTCTAAGCCCCAACCCCGTGAACCCTAAATTAAAAAGCCCCAAAACCCCTAAACTTCAGACCTAAACCCCAGACCCGAAACCCTAAACCGGAGGTTTAGGGATTAATTGGTCTAGGGTTTATCGAGATCAGAGAGATGAATTTTAGGGTCAGTGTTTGGAGAAATGGTTTGGCGTGTATGGTTCTTGGATACATGTTTTAGGTGTTTCTCTTTTTTGTGTCAGTGTTCCTTTAAAGTACGGATTCCGAAACATGCGTGCTTTGTTGCTTGGCTTGAATAGGGAGTTTCGTGGATGGAGAGGGTTGTGAGAAGTTTCGACTAGGGACATGTGGGTAGTTTTCAAAATGAGGGTCCCATAGGGGGATTTTTGTAAGGGTGCCGTACTATTCTGGGGACCTAAACAGGCACCGTAATTTAGAAAACTACCCATGTGGTTTATGGTGTAGTGACTTTAGTGTTCAGAGTTTATAGCCTCGGGTCGGGGCTTTAGGGTTCGGGCGTTGGGTTTAGAGTTTAGCTTGGTTTCCGGAGCCCATTAAAAACATATACACCTGTACACAACCCTAAACCCCAAGAGTTCTGTAGCTCTGTGTGAACCCTGCTACCGGCATTCAAATGCTCTAAACTCCCTTTGCCATCTAGTCACGTCGCGATGTGTTTGGGCACCTAACTCTATCCAGAAATCCAGAAACCGCAAAAAATGGCCGAAGCTCTCATCCGACATCGGGTTTCGAGGTGCAGATCTTCTGGCCCGAGAGCCCAAGAGCCTACAGTCCGCTCTGACCCCCTCTACTGTGGCTTGCGGGCCTTAACCTCAAGCCGAACCTTCAGGGTTTCGGGTCCGGGATCAGCGGGAATCTGCCGTGGTAGCATGACGGCAAGAAAACCCGAAACAGACCCTAAACCCGAGACCCTCCAGCCAAAACCGCAACCAGGAGGCCAGCTCTCTGGCATCGGGTGAACCAGGAAAGCACCTGGGCCAGCAACCTTGGGCCACGATCTATCGGCTACTATGATAGCATCGGTCTATGGTTGCGAGGAATGTCGTGACTGCAGCAAAGCATAGCATCATTGCCAGCACAAGCTTCATAATACAGCTTGAGTTTGGCTCGTCTGATTCTGTCCAGCACTATCCAAACTCTGTAGTTCTTTTACGACGACCCTAAACCCTAAAGCCTAAA